AGGAAAGTCGTACAATCAAATTATAGGAAGGACAGGGAAACGAACGGGCCCCGGGAACAGCTAGAGCCGGGCTCCCAAACATTTTCAACTCTCCTCTCTGGTTCTGCTTGCCTGTTGGCGCTCTTTACTTTTGCTTTGGACTGACTCTGATTTGGTGGGAAACAGCTGCCAGCTCCATTATTCTTTATCTTGGAACTTTGTCTTAGTTCAGGCTGCTGCAACATAAATACCACGGACTGGGTGGCGTAAGTATCAAATAAACTGTGAGGACTATCTCAGTTCTGGAAACTGGGAAGTACCAAATCAAGGCACCGGGACATCAGGGGTCTTGTGAGTACCCACTTCCTGGCTCGTAGTCAGTTACCTTCTCACCGTATCTTCACATGGCTGAGGGAGAGACCATGTCTCCCATGTCCCTGCCCATAAAGGCACTAATCCCATTCATGAGGCGTCATTCTCATGACCTAATTATCTCCCATAGGCCAACTCCAAGTACCATCGCACTGGGGATTAGGCTTCAACTTACAAATTTTAGGGGGTTATGAACATTGTCAAGTTTATACATACAAAGTCCAAAGCAACTCTATCCTCCAAAAGAGACTGACTAAAGCTTCCTTTGGTTCCAGGTTCAAAGTTCTGCTCAAGGACTCTGCCTGATTGGCTTGGTTCGAATCACTTGCCCTCCCCTGTATCCATTCATGGGTGTCCAACCTCCGGCCCTCAGGCCGCATGCAGCCCAGGATGGCTGTGAATGCTGGCCAACACAAAATCGTAGATTTACTTAAAACACGATGAGATTTATTTTTGTGATTATGTGTCGCAATGTATTTAATGTGTGGCCCGAGTCAACTCTTCTTCCTCCAGTGTGGTGCAGAGACGTCAAAAGTTTGGACACTCCTGCTATATGGTGCCAGCGGCTTCAGGTTCTATAACTGTCACAGGTGAGATGTCTTCCAGGACCAATCGGATAAGGCCACGGGGGAAAAATTATGGGAAAAATAATTACATCTCCCTTGAAGTAAATTGTTGAGGAGTTTTCAGGAAAAAAGGTGTCACTTTTTTTTTTTTTAGTATAAAACACATGGTGCTAGGTAGACAGAGCCATAGGTATCTGCTATAATCGTGACACATCTGTCCACTCAAATCAGTGAGACAGTCCTTGTAGACTGTTCTCCCTCTCACACTCCCTTGGCCAATCAGCCAGCAAATCCCCAAATATATTAAATCGGTCCCCTCCAATTTTTTCTAACTATACTTCACTTTCTTACTTCAGATCCTCCTCACTTCTTGCCTGGAAAATTGGCGGTAGTTTCACCTGAGGGCACTGTCTTCTGCTTTCACCATCTTCATGTACCCATCAGAATGAACTCCCTAAAACACAAACATGGTCCTTCCTCCAAAAATGTCCATCACCCAAAGAATAAAGTTCCAAACATGACATGTAACGCAAGTTCCTTCCTAACTACACGATGCCACTTTTACAGTCTCATCTCGCTGACTCTTCACTTATTCATGTTCTAGGATTTAAACTTGCTTCTTCTGAAATCCACCCACATATTTCACCCAGCAATTATAAGAAACATCTGCTTGACTGTAGCGCTTTGGAAATTAGCAAGAGAATTCTAAAGACCTCCTTGTTCAGCTGTTAATGGGGATTTGTTCGTGCACAGAATCTAAGAAGGAAGTGGATGGAGAGACACTCTAATTCACCCTCCCTGTACTTGTGCAGGGGAGATACCGAGTCCAACAAAATAAAGGGGTTTTATCCATATGCTGATGAGCACGAGCCAGAGTCTTCTGATTTCCATTCCATTTCCCTAAACGGAGTGAAAACAGTTCTTAGAAACTGGAGAGCCAATGAGGGAGGAAGGGAATACAGCCACAGGGAAAAAAAGACCCAGGAAAGCAGGGGGAAGTGCCTTCATTTTTCCAAATCATCCCTCATCCCAAAATGTGAATGTAAATAAGACAAGCTTCTGAAGGCCAAGGTGAGGAGAGGTGCTTCCACGCAGGAAGTGGAAGTATAAGAAACGAAGAAAAGGACCAATGGCTAGTGTCAGAAATTATCTCCTCAACATGGGGTGGGTTCAGGCCAGAAATAAAGGGCCCAGATGGTTTTAATGACCGAACCCTGCCTCTTGCCTTTCATCTGACTATAGCAGGAACTGTCACGGGTAATGGGCCATATCCTGCCAGCCCTGCCCTCGCATGCTCTCATTGGAAGTTTTTCAGTGAGTCTGGGATACTCTCCCATTCCCTGAACCTCACACCAAGAAGCCTGGGACTTTATCCACCACCAGGATGGCTCCAGTATTTAGGACTGCAGTGGAATTTGGAAGATGAATAAATCTCAATCTTAGAAGTGTCTTTTGATCCTATTATTTACTTTAACATATGATGCACGTTGGGATATGATTTCTGGATTATCTCAACCTCCTTGATAAAGCAAGAATTGTTAACATTTATGAGAAATACAAACATACCAATCAGTGCATGGCCAAAAAGAATACTTTGAAATACATTTGACTCTGAGGAAAATATTTGATAAAATTCATGTAGAAATCATTCTCCTCTCTTTCCCTCTTGTTCCCTTCTCCCAACAAAAGTTGAAATATTAAGAGATCCCCGTGTTAGAATTACCTACAAATACCAACATACTCACAAAATTTTTACTGCATAATAGCAAAGCAGAAAAGTAACCAGCATTTCTGCAGTGAATCTGTGGTCTTCCCTGGACTCATCCAAACTCCTTTTCCAACACTTGAGTCAATACCAGTATCATAAGATCCCAGACCATGTTCTTCTTTTTGTTATTTTGGAAAGAATGACTAATCCCTGTATACTATTCTTGGACTCTGTTATTTTGGCCAACTTAGGAAGAATAGACTAATACTAATAGTATCCAACATTTATAGCACTTTTTCACAGTTTACAAAACCTTTTTCCATTTAATCCTCACATCAGTTCCCTGATGAAGGGACTTGCCGGGGCTCACCCATAACTAAGTGGCAGAGCAAGGAAATAAACACAGGTCTTCTGAATGCAGCCTTCAGTTTCAACTGCACTAGACAGAGTAAGAGTGCCTGTCCCTAACAACCTTCATATATCAATGGTGTCGCACAATTGTTGTTGTTGCTCTTGTCACAGCAGTGTGGGTGGCTGGGGCTGGGGATTCTGCCCCATATAGTCATGCAGAGACTCATGGTCCTTCTACATGTGTGTTACCATCTTCCACATGTAGTGTCCAAAGCCACTTACAAGGGTGTCCAACATTTTGGCATCTCTGGGCCACACTGGAAGAAGAAGAGTTGCCCAAAACAACATTAAATACACACATTAAATACACGAACACTGATGAAAACTGATGAGCAAAAAAAGGCCTGAAGTAAATTTGCAATTTTGTGTTGGGCTGTATTCATAGCCATTCTGGGTCCCATGTGGCCCATGGGCCACGGGTTGGACACCCCTTCAAAGTGGCAGATCACACACAGGAGATTTTTACCAGCCAGGGCTGGACGTGGCCCACATCACTTTGGCTCAGGTTCTTTTGGCCAGAATGCCATCTCAGCAAGGGAGGCTCAGATGTAATTCAACTCTTTGTCCAGGTCCACAAGCCTTGGGAAAGTGGATTTGAGAGTTTTGCCCTAAGTGCTTTGGTTTACAAGCCTCCGCCAAGTCCCTACTGCTGGGGAAGTCATGTGGATCAACTGCTGGAGGTTATTTTTCCTTCTCATCTCCCAGAACATTTGCATATTCCTATTCACTATTAACCCTTTTTCAGGAACTGTTTTGAGAGTTATTATGTTCTCATCTTCTTTTAATTTTTCGTCTGTGGATTTGTGTTTCCCTCCATGACTCATAAGCTCTTTAAAGACAAAAATGTGTCTAGTATTGCAATGCTATGAGATACATCCCCTCCACTCTCCCTTATCAACCCTCCACTTACCTGCATCCACATAAACTCAGTTGCCCAGGTATGTACAAGATGCTGTGCTTGGTGCCACGTGGAGAAACAAAGAGGAATTAGGCAAGAATCGTAAGAAGCTTATCAAACAAGCCTCAATGTGAAAGTGCAATAAGAAGTATAGAAATACAGTGCTAAGGAAACAGAGGGAAGAGACTGACCCTGAATTGAGGGGAAGGGGAATGAAAAAGTCTTTGCTGAAGAAGAAATGCTAGTCGTAGCTAACACACTGAATTTCAGCAACTGGCATTAAAGTGCCTTACAGGCATTGTAACAACCTTATGAGACAGAACTATTACTGTTCCCGTTAGCCAGACAGAGAGGGAGAATATGCTCTAAAGGACATTACTGCGACAGTTGATGAAATGTGACTATGGACAACAGATTGAACAGATAACAGTACTCTGTGAATAGCAACTTTCTTGATTTTGATAACTGCCTGTGGTTATATAGAATGCCCTTGCTAATAGGAAAGCCACTCTGAACTGTTTAGGAATAAAGGTGCATGCCATTGTAAACTGACTCTTTAATAGTATAGAAAATAGTAATAACTGTGTGTGTGTGTGTGTGTGTGTGTGTGTGTGTGTGTAGAGGAAGAGGGGAGACAGAATGATTTAAAAAATGCAGCAAACCGTTAACAATTGTTAAATGTGGGTGACTGGAGGCTTTGTACTACTCTTGAAATTTTTTGTAGGTATGAAATTACTTTAATGGGAAAGGTAAAAGAAAACAGAGGGAACATTGGCACAGAGCAATGGAGGGAATGGTCCAGCCCAAACACCTTAGAATGGCGGGCCAGGGTCTCGCCCAGAATTCACTGTTTCGCCTCCAGGCAAGGTGAGGGCCGCAATCCCGCCACCTCCGGCCTGGCACTGCCCACCTGCCACACGGCAGCTGCCAGGACCAATGAGGCGCCTCCGCTGACCGGGGAAGGCCCTCCCCTCGCGGCCCCTGCGGCTGGTCCTGCAGACACCCCTCTCCTGCTGCCTGTGGGTCGGGAAGCCCCGCCCCGCTGCTGGGCGTGGGCCTGGGTGGGAGAAGGGGAAAGATGACGCACCGAGAGCGCGGGGTAGTGTCTGCCCCCGGGGAGGGCGCCCACCTCCCGGAAGCGGAAACGGAGACCGGAGACCGGCGGTCCCCTCCCCCACTCGCCCGCGGAAAACTCAACAGGAGAGTGGTCTCGAGTCCTGAGTGGACACACCTACCTGACAGCTTGCATTCATTTAAGATGGTAAAACATCACTTCCCATCGCTCCACGTCTTCCCTGGCCTCGCTTCACCTTCCCCCCATCCTCGCCGCCTGGGGTTTGCACGCGTATGGGAAGCGGCGGCTCTCCTTCCTTCCTCGCCTGGGGACTCTGTCCTGGGGTAGGAGGGCTGGAAAAACCACGTTCGATTGCACGCCCCCTCCATGTGAGCTGGCTCTGAAAGCCAGGAAATTGAGATAAAGGCAGGACAAGGAGAAAGAGCAGCCTTCAGGAAGTATGTGCATAACCGTAAACAGTTTGGTGGCGCAGGTGGGTGGTAATGGGGGTGGAGGGAATGAAATACGGATGTAATAAAAGATGATGGGCTTGAACGCCTGCTCTAGCTGTCTGGGTTAGATATGTCTGTAGGCACAAGTATGAGCCAACAGGACTGAGGTAGGATGTAGAAAGTAATAATAACAATGTTATTATACATGTTATTAAGCCCTGACTGTTTGCTAACCTTTACGCTAAGCATTTTTCATAAATTATTGTACTTAATCCTAACAATGATCCCGTGAAATGGGTACTGTTATTATTCCCTAAGACTTAGAAAACTTAATAAACTTGTTCAAGGTCACACAGATTTTGAACCCCAAAATCCCATCCTCTGCCACCAGAGCTGGGATTAGAAACATAATTTGTGGGAAGTGTGAAGGACAGATTGGCAGCCGAAAACATTAGAGATAGGACTGCTCTTAGTTAATGATTTTTCTAATGTATGCAAAAAAGATGGGAAAATGTGCAACACACCTCCCCTTTCCCACATACTCTTATTTCAATGTACTCATGCAAGAGAATAGTTACAGCATGACAGGAACTGATCTTAAAGCTGGGGTTGAGGCAGCGAATGATGCAGACTTTCCTCCACTGGTGGAACTTGCAGGTTTGAGGGAGAGACAGAAATGAATGGAAGAGTCACACATATATTATTGCAAACTGCCAGGTCTGAAGGAAAAGCACAGGGTGTGAAAAGGGTGTGTTGCAGAGAGATGAGCTAGTCTGGCAGCCACGGAGCCCACTTCAAAAAAGAATCACCCTGTGGTGAGTGAGAGTCTGGGTGGCTGATGAAAAGTGGCCAGCCAGTGGAAGGAGTGTGTTTTAAGGTTTTTGAAATGTAGAAGTCTGTAACAGCTCCTGATTGCTTCCCCAACCCTAAACTCCAGCAACCCTTCACTCAGTTCATGTATACACCATTTTCCATGCTGTCTCAGGCAGAAAATACTGCAATCAACTTTGACTCCTCCCTTTTTTTTTTGTTCTCATTGCTCAGCTGGAATTTATCAGAAAACACTGCTGGCTTCATCTCTAAGACACAGATAGTGTCCTGTCACTTCTTCCCGTCACCGCCCCTACCACCCTGGTTCCAGCCATCACTGCTTCTCAGTGGGAATTACTGCAGTTGCCTCCTTGGCTGGCCGCCTTCCACTCTCATTCCCTACAGGGGTCTTCTCAACAGTGATGTTAAAACGTCAGTCACAATCACATCATATCACCTGTGCTGCAAACCCTCCACCAACTTTCCATCTCTTCAGAGGACAGTCTGAAGCCACAAGGCTCTTTGAGACCCAAGGCCCTTCCCTAACCTCTCTGCTCGCATCTCGGGCCTCTCCTACAGACGCTCTCTGCCTCTGCGGCTCCAGCCACACTGGCCCGCGTGCTCTTCCTGAAATACCCCAGACCTACTTCCTCCTTACGGCTTTTTCTTCTGCCTGGAAATTGTCGCCTCTACTCCCACCCCAACCAGCACTTCCCATCCCCCCTCCCTGTTCCACAGTGATCCTTACCAACTATCCAGTCAGTTCTTTTGCTTAGGATCTGGACCCACCACCTCTAGAATGTGAGTGCTATTTGTGCTTATTCACGGCCATGATGCTTTAGCATTAAAAACATGTCCACCACATGGTAGAAACTCAGTAATTGTCAAATAAATTAATTTTTAAAATCCAAGAGCACGTCCTGCAAGGCTTTCTGCCAATGCCTAAGCTCAAGATGGAGAAGAGAGGGGGCCTGGACGCCCAGGGAGGCCCCTGTGGATTTCCTAGGAATACAGAAAAACACCTGGATGCATTACCTCTGGGGTGGACATTATGATGCGTGTGGCTCAGATCGCCCTTCAGGAGTGACCGTTTATTCTCTCAACTCAGCCCCTTTTGAGGATCACTGTGGCTGAACAGCTGCCTCACCTAAATCACACCTCCTCCCCAGAGCTGGCCACCCCTGATAAGTGACTGCTGTGGGGTGTAAAGGCCCTTGCCCAGTCCAGACCAACTCTGAAGGGTCCTCCCATCCTGAGAACTCCCAGTGGGGTGGGCCGAGGCCCTCACCGGGCCTGCGTGGCGGCTCACCCTCTCCCTCTGCCTGATGGGCTTCACTTCTTTCCTTTGCGCAGGCGCAGGCTGCAGGAGCACTTCCCAGTGAGCCTGCTGCACTCCAGTTCCATCTCGGAGTCTGCTGCCCGGAAAACCAATCTATAACAATGCCCCCTCCCCACATCAATACATCTCTAATACTGTAACTGAAGTAGTGACCTTTCCTCACAACAGGCAAAACGAGACTGTCTCCTAGAAAAGACAAGGGGCTTCATAAGGGCCAAGAGTCCATTCACCTCTGAACTCACAAAATCAATGGCATGCCGTTCAGGAGAAAATACGAAACACATCCAGGCAGCTGTAAGGAAAGAAGCTGTGACCACTGGGACTTTGCAGTGCAGTGCCATGCATGCCCAGGTAGCATGCACACTTCTGACTGGGACCTCCAGAAACAGTTCCTGCCCCTTTACGTGGGTGCCGGGAAGGCTATGGTTTTCTCTGTACCTCGACATCCTGAAATAATGAGGATTATTGGAGTCTAACCTTCAGGAAGACAGAGGTAAGGAGCAGTAAAGTGGGGTGGTCAGGGCTTTATGCATACTTCTATGTTCTTTCAACATATCAGGGGAAAATATATTTATTTGTCCAATACCAATGAACAAAAAGTTTAAAAACTATAAAATTAAATACACAGCTTCTTAATGTCTTTGAAACTGGGAGATGCAGGAGTCCACACACTGAAGGGGAAGGAGCACCTGCCGATCCCCATTCCAGTCCTTACTACCTGCTCCCAACCAACAGATCTGAGTTTGTATCAAACCCTCTTAGACATTGCTTCTAGGTACTTTTTTGCTGACAACCTAAAGACCAAACTTCTTACCACCATATTGAATGCTTTTCACAATCAAACCAAACCAAGTACTCTGGGCTGCACTCTAATTCCTGGAACCTTTTCCCTCCGCCTGCCCTCAGCTTTCAGAATCACTTCCTGTTCTCTAAAGGGGCCGGGCCTTCCCCGGCTCTTTGTTTTGCATTTGCTAATCCCCACTTCCCTCTTCCTCTGATTGTGTCCCAGCTTCAATGTCACCTGCCCATCAACCACAGACTTTCCCCAGCTCCAGGTATCATTCATTGCTTCCACTTTTATTTTCATGTGGTACCTTGTTTTTATCACCTTTTTAGCTTTAAAATTTTTTTAAATGACAATATTAACGTGATTATATATTAATATGGTAAAATATAAAAGTATATACAGTGGCAAGGTATAAATTCCCTCACTTTTTGATTCAGAAGTTGATTGGTGGGGGGTGAGACAAGTACATAGGTGTTCATTATGTTATTCTATGTACCTGCTTATAGTGTTTTTTATTTTAACGAGAGGGGAAGGGAGAAAAAAGAGACGGATGGAGAGAAGCATTGATTGGCTTGCCTTCCATTTGGGCCCCAATTGGGGACCCAACCTACAACCCAGGAACGTGCCCTGACCAGGAATAAAACTGGCAGCCTTTCAGTTTTCGAGACTATGCCCAACCCACCTAGCCACCCCACCAGGGGCTCTATGCACCTTCTGGATTCGGGACTATTTCATTAAAAAGGAACAGTCTTTCCCCTTCCCCACTCAACCTTTTTTCCCACTCATCCTCTTTGTCAGAAAAGCTACTGTTAACAGTTTTTTGTGTACTCATCTTTCTAGTCCTTTTGCTATGTTTCCAAACACATAAATATATACTGTTGACATAAGAAACGTCCTAACATGTAGAAGAATTTTGTAAGAATTTGAGCCAAGCAAACAACATACGCTAGGGTGCAAAGATCTCAAATGCTCTGGAGAATAACAGTTTTGCAGGGCTGTTTGTGCCTTTGAAATTCAGGAGGGAACATCAGGAAGGTGGCACATAATGGTGGGAGAAAGCAAGGCAGAGACTGGACTGTAAACTAGTTAAGATTATGTGCTCTCTGGAGGGCGGCTTTAAAAGAAGGGGCCTGAGAAGCTGGTCCCATATTAGAAGGAGGGGTCAGAAAGAGGGTGTTTCAAAGGTGTATTAACCTAGGTGCAGGAAACAATACACAAGGCTTGCTTCAGGCAAAGCTAAACCTTCTACTGAAGAAGTTGTAGGCCTGGGGTGGGACGACTCACCGTGACCTGCCCAGTTAGGAATTCATGGTCAGATCACTCCCTGGGGTTACTTTCTGTAGAACCCCTTTTTTTCATCCACAACTCATACACACTATTATTCTTCATTCAAATGGAGTCATACTGTACCTATCGTTCTATGCATATTTTTTTAATTAACAGACTTCATTCCTTAGAGCAGTTCTAGGTTTAGAGAAAATTGAGCAGATAGTACAAATTTTTCTTATTTATTCCCCTGCCCTCTCACAGTTTTCCCCATTATTAACATCTTGCTTTTGTGTGGTATGTTTATTATAATTGATGGGCCAATGTTGATACATTATTGTTAACTGAAGTCCACAGTTTACATTAGGGTTCACTTCTTCTCTGAGTTGCCAGATATATAATGTCATGTACCCACCACCACAGAATCACACACAGAATAGTTTCACCTCCCCCAAACCCCCCTGGTCTCTACCTGTTCTCCCAAGCAACCACTTTTTACCGTCTTTGCATTTCTACTTTCTCTAGTATGGTACGTACTTTTAAGACTGACTTCTTCATTTAGCAATGTACATTCTCGTTTCCTTCATGTCTTTTCATGGGTATAATTATTTTTTGAATTGACATCGACATTCTCCCATGTTCTTACATCTACATCTACCTTTTTCTCTTTAATAGCTATGTAAGTAGTTCATGATTATAGAAACTTCTTTATCCTGTCTTTTACCCCTGATGAGCACGTGTTTTTTTTTTAAGGTTTCTAATGGTCTATTTACATCTGTCTGCTAACCCTTAACCATAAAACATGGTATTCAATAAATAGCATTGCTTCTCTCCACAAAGAACTACATACACAAGAAAAGGGTGGCAGTAGCTCAAAATACGAAGAGGCAAGACTGTCACAGGGAACGGCAGAGGGATTTACCAGGAGGCTGCAGCAGGCTGGGAAGAAGCTGGCCAAGGAGGACTTAACAAGAGGCGGGATTGAAACTGGGCTTTGAAAGGGTGGGTCGGGATGAGCAGGAAGGGGAGTGTTGGTCTTTTTCACTTCAAAAATAAAGAAACTGATGGTGGCCAGATGGGAAGGGGAACTGCAGTGATGGGTAATAAAAGTGAAGGGATTAAGATGTACGAACTGCCAGTTATATAAAAATAGTCACAGGGATGTCAAGTACAGCACAGGGAACATAATCAATAATATGGTAATAACTGTGGTGTCAGATGGGTACTGGAGTTACAGGAGTGATCAGTTCCTAAGTTATCAAAATGTCTAATCACTGAGTTGTACACCTGAAACTAATATAATATTGTCTGTCAATGGTAATTAAAAATTAAAATAATTATCAATAAAATAAAGAAGCCACGCGGGCCTGCTGCTGCCGGTGTCATTCCTCAGCGGCCGGGATCCTGGAAGCAGGCCCACCTACGAACGTGGATGGATGTGCGCAGCGAGGCTCCCAGGCAGGCCCGGGCCAAAAAAGGCAAGGAGGCCCGGCCTCCGGGAGCTCTTGTTTCAAAAATATTCTTTGCTTGTTGAAACCAAGTAAATGCCAAAGGACTCAAGGACTGCTCCCGGGCTGCATCTCATAACATTTCTTACCTCCTCTGGTACAGAGAGCATCAGGGTGCATTCCACCTTCCTCTTCCTCACAGACTGTTCTTATGCCCAAGGTTCGTATCTTAGCCCCTAAACGTCTCCTGTGGCACTGACCACCCTAAGTAACCCTTGGTGTTGGTTGCTAAATGTCCACATGAACAAATAGTGTTAGAAGCTACCTTCCCTGCTTTGGGTTGCCCTGGAAGCATACCCTGAATCAAGGACTCCAGTGAGAGTGGTTTATTGAGGAAGTGATGCCAAGGACACCCGCTGGAGAGAGAAGTGACAGGGAAGGGAAAGCAGCCATAAAGGGTGTGTTAACAAGCAAGGTATCTCTGGGCAACCGGAGCCCAATCTCCCAGGGAAACGCTGGGAAAAGGTGCAAAACATGCCCCGGGCTGCTCCTGGGGGTACAATAATTTCCCAGCTCCTCAAGCCTGACTCACAGAGGACTACAGGGTGACCTTCTACGGTTCCAGAGAAATCCCTCCGGCTCTGAGGGGCAGATGCTGGGAGGTGGAAGTCAGCCAGAGCACACCGAGGGGCTGAGTCTAAGCCCTGGGGCGGGGGGGGGGGGGGAGCAGGGCTCCCACCTTCCAGGGAAAAGCGCCACGGGAGATCCCAGTTCCCTTTGGAGATCTGTTATAAGTTATAACAGATCTGTGACAAGTGGCTGTCTCCCCTCTCGCCCCCATACCTAGAGCAACAGGACACTCGGCACGGGGCAAGCGATTTCACTGTCGGTAACCCCAGTGTTCAAAGCACTTCCTAGCTTGTTCTGAACCTCCCCGTCTCCCAGTTCGCCACCCGCTGCTAGTCGAGCCTACTCCAGCTACGCAGAGCATCGAGTGCCCGTTCCAAGTCCAAGTGTCAGCCCTGTGAATATTTACAAAGAGCGATTTCCAGTTTTCTCCACATAATCCTCACGTGATGTGGTTTGCAGTTTCTAGCTATCCGTCACACACCTACCTAAGCAAACGTTTTTTAAAAAGGAAAATAAATGATGTCAGGACTTTTACACAGGTCACCCCTTCAGCCCATGTGTTTAAAACACGTCGTGACCGCAACAGGAGTCTCGGCCTTCCTTAGGGACACAGGAGAGGGTGGAAGGGGACAGTGCTCGGCGTGCCTCCTCCAGCACAGTCCAACTCTGGTTCCAAACTTGGGAGTTCCCACAACTTCGGGAAAGCCCTGTGACTAACTGTGGCAGCTTCTCCAACAAGCAGACTAGGGGTTTGGATCCCCGTACACTACACTCCCCACAGATTGTTTATGAGCCTCCTTATTCCAACCACAGAGAGCACTCTTCCTGAGCAGAGTGGGAGAACACAGTTTTTGCCACCTTGCTGCATTTCTAAACTGTCTTACTGAGCGCCCCCTACAGATGAGCAACAACAGCAGTTGCTCCGCTCTCCCGCCAATGCTCATGGTACTCTGCCATCTTCAGCGCTCCCTTGGTGAAAGGCCCCTTCTCCGCATGCGTAGAAGAGAAAGCCGAGGCTCAGAGAAGAAAAGGCATTGGACCAAGCCAACACAAGGCTGGGATTGGAACCCCTGCCCACCTGAGCTTGATCTACCTCTGTTACTTTTTCTCTACTTAGGATCTATTTCTCCTTATTGTCGTCATAGTACCCACATACCTCTTTGCCAACTGTTCTTCTCCCCGTCTTTGTTGTTTAGATGAAGATGCCCCTACCCCAAATATGCAAGGACCTCACATGACCCAGGGACAAGACAATCCCTGTCTATTCTCTCCTTGGTTTGAAGATGGGCACACGGTCCAAGGCACACCTAATTTCAGTGAGAAGGAAGACAGCAACTGTGAGTTGGGATTTATTATTTGCAATAGAAGAACCAAAAGAATCCTAACAAATTTGGACTCTTCTATCCAAGCTCTTCCCGTGATATTACGCAGACTCCTTTCTGTTATAGACATACACACACACACATACACAATCATTTATTTCTGAAGAACACTTTGTAAAGCACCTGCCAACCCTTTGGGAGAAGACAGACAGGTATTAAATTGCTATAGTCATTTTCTATAAACAAGAAAACCAAAACTAAGAGAGGCTAAGTGACTGATCTAAGTCACACAGCCAGCCAGTAGTGGCACACCTGCCGGAAGTACCCAGATCTGTCAAGGTCACCCTGGTTTCCTGACCCATCTTGATGATCATCAAGCTGTGTAACCCTCCAAGTAAGTTCACCTATTTGGGATTCAACTCCCATCTGTTACATGAGGGCATTGGCAACTGTGATTTCTAAGGGCCCTCCTAAAACTCTCAGTCTGGTGCTCCGTGTCTTTGCTTCATATCTGTGCCTAGGCCTGGGTGTGTGGGCTCTAAGTCAAAGACCCTGCTGGAGGAACGTCCCATCAGTCAGGGACTTACTCAGTGTGCACACACACATACCTGTCTGATGACGTGAAGTTTCCGATGGTTCTGTTCCCAGCAGGAGTGAACATCGGTACGAAACCAAAAGTAATGAAATTGTGTAGATGCCCGGCACCCCACCTGCTCTATTCCTGTTCAGAAAAATAACGCCATGTGAATTGGCCTTTCAATCTTAAGCAAAAGCAAACAAAGCAGGCTTCATGTTGCTGCATTCCCCCTGACCACGTGCTGAGCACTGGCCCTGAGTCGCTCCTATAGCTTTGTATTGCGGGGTGGGTGGGGGCACAAGGTTCAGACATAGCTCCTGGGCCACACATTTGCTAAATGTGGGGCCTATGGCTTCTCGAGACCTCACCCCCGGAAGCATTGGGACCCCACACTGATGTATTCATGAGAACTTAAAATCCACTCGGAGTGCCTGCTTGTGGGCACCAGCAGCCTTCATTCGCTTTGCAGATTCTCTCAATCATTCTTGGACTGTCCTTTTTCCTAGATACTGTTTTTCAATAGCTCTAAAAAGAGTGGGGACACAAAGGCTGTCTGCTTTGCTCTCTTTTGCTGAATCCTAACACAATCCTTTCCAGTGACCTGCCACCATGTGGCTTCTGAGAGAGTTGAGATCGTTATCAGCCCACAGGCGTCCCTTCAGGGCACCTGCCCTCCTCCCCAACGCTGTTCTCCGCTGCTGATCCTTCTTCAAGTCGCTTCACTTGGAAGGGAGACATTGTGTCCTGACAAGTCAGCTCACGTCCTGTACTGTCTGTCTGTTCTTTGGAAAATTAACATGACACAGTCATGTGATCACCCTTCAGTGTCCCAGCTGTTATTTCTGGACTCAGTAGGACTTCGAACTTTTCACTGGAGTGGGTGGGTGGGGTGAGTACAGGGGAGTGTAGAGGCATTATTTCAAAATCCCGAATCCAACAAAACAGCAGCGAAGCCTTCATTTACTGTTTACCTTATAATAAGGTTGAGACACAGTCCGCTGTGGGAAGGCGGAAAGGCACTGGGCGTAACTCTTAGTTTCTTAGGAGTCAGGGGTTTCCAGACTGGACTCGCATGGATTTCCGAGCTGCTTCAGAGAGATGTTAGTGACCGCTCTGTATTTTGAGCCACATGCACTCTTCATGTATATATAAAACAAAGAGTGATAAAAACATCCAAGAGTGATTCCCAGCTGCACAAGCAGACAGAAGTCTGCAAGGGTTCAGGTGGCATAGCCATAAAACACTGGAGTGTTGTGCTTCCACAAGAAGGGGACCCCTGTCTCCACACCCACTTGTAGAAGGCCTGCCCTGCAAATTAAGCTCTACGTCTTCTGGTTAGATGCAGGGCAGTCCCATTATTTGAACATCAGATAATTTATTTTTGGACCACAGGGGTTGGGGGTCCGAAACTCATGAATAGACCAAGAGTATTCATGGAATAATTGATTCCAAAACAATGCCTCCTATTAAATGCCTTCTATAACCATAATACCAGCTTGCTGCTCTCCGATCAGGCAGAGTCCCGGGTTTGTTTAAGTCTTCTCAAATAACTCCCTGGTCTAATCCAACCCTAAGGACCAGCTCAAACCCCACTACCACCTCTTCTATGAAGCCATTCCCACGGACCTCTGGGTAGCCACAGCCTGCAGTTAAGCCATCCTACTTCCTCCTTGACAGCCGGAATGTCATTCCCACCCCCTCATACCTCAGCCTTGCTCTTAGTCTACACCTGAAGCTTTTCTGCCTCTCCCTATCTCTTCCTGTTCTTCCTAACCTGATTCTGATCTCTGTGGTTCTGGTTCTTGCGTCATATCTTCCATATCTAGCCTCACACTTGTCCCTGACACGAATTTCACTTCTTTGGAAGTGACCAGAGATCCTTTCGTTGGCTCCAGTGTTGGCACTTGCCTTTTGAATTTTGTCTGCTGATGGAAGGTCTGGGTGCATTCCCTGCCTCATTTCAGGTCCTGGAAACTGCTCCAGAGCTGACCACTTATTCAGTTAGTTTCTGGTCCTGTCCAGTGGATGCTAGGCAGTCATAGCAATTAGTGGTCTTTCCACCCATGCCTTACCCCAGGTGGGCAGTAACTCTTCTGAGACAGAGCACAAGACAGAGAACAGGCAAGACCTCTACTTACAGGCTTTGGGGTAAAAGGTACCTGAGTTCTAATTCCTGGTCACTGTTGACTCATTTACTTACTGTATGAACTTGGGCAAGTAATGAGCCTCACTGAGCCTCAGTTTCCTCATTCCCAGGTTAAATGGGGATAACAACAATAGTACCTACTTCGTGCAATGGGTGTGCGGATTAAATGAGTGGTAGGGTGGGTCTTTGAAATAGTAACTCTCTGGAGTAGCAGAAACTATTATACTTGGGCCCCAGGAGAGTGTTTTTGGCAAGGAATTCTCAGAGAGCCCTGTGGATTTGGGCTAAAGCCTGCTCTGGCACACAACGAAGCAGTCCATAAAAGTAAGCTTAAATAAAGAGAAACGAAAGAGGATTGAGACTCAACAGATGGATCCCCACTCGTCTCAGGTCATGAAAATGGACTGGAGCAAAGGGCAGTTGCTTATGCTTAATTTATAAATTTTCCAGGGTTCAGGTCTGCTGTGTGCAAGATTCAGATTTCCAGAAGGAAAGATGGTCCACTGTACTTGACTGGAAGGGCCTAGCTTCTAGATGGAGCCAAAAACATATTGGTGAAGGCCCGATTTTCTGGATGCCATTTTTTTTCTAAACCCTGAAACATATCATCTTTCAAAATCCAGTATTTCCCTGAAGTTTGATCTAAGCTCCTGACGGTGGGACCCAAAGTACAAGTACTTCAAGATTGTACTCTCTACCAATGGTCAGCAAATTAGAGCCCATAGGCCAAATCTGGCCCACTGATAGTTTTTGTAAATAAGGTTTTATTAGAACACAGCCACGCCTATTCATTTATGTATTGTGTCTGCTTTCTCAATAAAATGGTCAAGCTGAGTAGTGGTGACAGACACCAAATCGTCCAAATCAGAAATGTTTAGCCCTGGCTGGTATAGCTCAGTGGATTGAACGCGGGCCTGCGAACCAGACAATGGCGGTTCGATTCCCAGTCAGGGCACATGCTTGGGTCGCAGGCCGGTTCCCTGCAGGCCATTTCCCAGCAGGGGATGCACGAAAGGCAACCATACATTGATGTTTCTCTCCTTCTCTCCTTCCCCCCTTCCCCTCTAAAGATAAATAAATAAAATCTTTAAAAAAAAAAGAAAGAAATATTTGCTGACCCCTGCTCTATGTCGTACATGGTAAGATCCCAAAAATGTCAGTTTATAAGTATGTTCTCTTGTATGTTTCACCATTTACATTTCGTCTTTGTAACAAGGAGTAGAATCCTGAAGGCGAAGGCCAGTTATCTATTTCTATTGCATTTCCCATAGGTGTCACTTAACATGACATTCGAGGCGTCCTCCGGTGCCAATTGCTTCTGCAGCCTGAAACCCCTAGCTTTCCTACTTTTCTAGTCTAGGTAAGTTGACATCCAGCCTCTAGGTGTTTGCCAAGGGGAGCTGGACTTCACTCCTTGTTCATTTCTTTGTCAATGGTGCTGCATTTTCCAGGGCCTTATCTCCAGCCTCTCCTATCAGAAGGCATCTCTTTTTTCTTTGAACTCTGTCCATGGGCTTTGTGTTTCCTGAATGACGCAGAGACTACTTCGCTCTTCAGATATTCAGTCTCCCCAGACAGGCAATGTCTTGCGATGTTGTCTATTGCTTCTTTCCTTTTCTGCTTCACAAACTGCATTTACTGCCTTGTTAGAAGAGGCAGCTGTGGGGGTTCATAGTTGTGGAGGCCATGATACAAATTCAGACTCATCTGCTCTTATAAAAGCAGAGCATGCAAGAATCAGAGCCCTGACTGGGTAGCTCAGTTGGTTAGCGTGTCGTCCCTATGCCAAAGTCCTTGTCCTCGTTTCTGTACAAATGCCTCCTGGTTCCTACGAAAGAGGGTAAAAACGAGTAGGGCTTTGTTTTGCTGCCTCTTGGGATTTTCAGTTTTGGGAGGGCTGGTAGCTGTCATCCTAGCCTGGGGCTCAGGTTTTCACCAAAAGCTTTGTTTTAGTATATAGGTTCTATTATGATAGAGTGAAGCCAACAGATCTGGGGACAATCTCCAGTGGAAAAATATTTTGTTATTCATAGTTTCCAAGAAGAGGGGCCTAGCACATCACACAGGGCCAAAGAGGAAGCACTACGGTCAGTGGGAGGCAGAGAGAAGAAGGGGAAAGGAGGGAAGGAGAACCTTTCCTCTTTATTGTGGTTTCTGTGGGAAGGAATGGGGGAGACAGGGTAAACAGGCTTGGCCTTGGCTAACTGAATCATTTCAGCTGCTCCTGGGGTACAGGGACTGGCTGTTTTTGGTTGTCTGGTACCTGGCCCAGGGGTGATCAGGTAGGGGATTAGTGACCCTAAGTGTGAGTCCTGCAGGAGCCCGATATGTAAAGGAGGTGGTGGGGTATGGGCTCTGGATTGGCTGCTTTGCACATGCATACTTACAGGTTTGCATAAGGCATGCTTGTAGGCATCCTTGACTATCTCTAGGGATTGGCTAGCCCTGCAAGGGGTGGTACTTTCAGGGCCAGCAAGGTGCCAAGATGTCAAAACATCAGAAACGCATGGTTAACACAAATGTCAACAATCATGGCCATGGTCAAGGACTGTATTAGTTTGCGAGGGGTGTTACAGCCAAATACCACAGACTGGGTGACTTAAACAACAGAAATTTATTTTCTCGCCATTCTGGAGGTTAGAAGTCCAAGATCAAGGGGTCAGTGAGGCTGATTTCATTCTGAGGTGTCCCTCCTTGACTTATAGGTGGCAAAAAAAAAAAAAAGACCCTGTGTTCTCACACAGTCTTTTCCCTGTGCATGCACATCCCTGGTGTCCCTTTATGCGCCCAAATTTCCTCTTTTTGTAAGGGTATCAGTCATTGGATTGGGGTCCACCCTAACACCTCGTTTTAAGTTAATCACCTCTTTAAAGGCCCTGTCTCCAAATACAGTCACAGACTAAGGTAGGGGGTTGTTGCTTCAACATACAACTTTTGGAGGCCCAGTAATTCAGGACATAACAGGGACATTGCTGAAGTAGCTTTGTGGGGTTGCTGGTGTTGAAGAACATCAGAGAACTGTCATTGAGGAGACACGTGAGACTAAGGACCTGGACTTGGTAGAAGACAGGGAGACACAGGTGAGGACTATGAGCCAGTGAAATTTGGATAGTATGTAAATATGACTTCATTTTTATCTGTGAGCTTTGGAGGCCCTAACAATTTTGGAATACAGATATATTTGCACCTGTGAAAGATTATCAATGAATCCACATTGAATTAGAATTCCGTTGATACTGAAAGCCAATGCCCACAAGCCTGGGGCATTGGGGGTTGGGGGGTCAAGTCTTCTTAAAAAAAGCACAGCAAGCTTGTTTATTTGTTCTAAGAGTTAACTACCTGACAGTGTAGAATCTGGATCCTCTGTTTGACCACAAAAGTTTACTCAAGTCATGCAGGGAAAAACAGGGTCAATAGACTTGAGTGAAAGAAAGCACACAATTTTGTCTAGTTCTTTAAAGTTTGCTGGATAACAAGTTTGTCATTCATTTCCTTCTCCCATCTCCCTCTCAGGAGAGCCTGGTGCAGGCTACCTTGCTTCCTTCTCCAAAGTGCATACGTGTGTATGCATTCATGTGGATGGTACATGTGTGTGTTTGCACATATGTGCATACATGTGTGCACATGTGTACACACACCTTTTCTCCTCACACCCTCAACTCAATACCCACTCTTCTAGCCAAGCAGGTTTCTTCCCTCGCTAACCACCATGAAGGATTCCACAAAAACCTGTCCTTGGCTTAGAGAGGTGGTCAGAAGCAGCTGGCAAGAGCAAGCTGTTTGCCTCTGGCCTCTTCTTCACACCCTCTCCTTCTCATAGATAGTATAAAAACTTTACTATTTTCCCTGGCTGGTATAGGTCAGTGGATTGAGCGTGGGCCTGTGAACCAGAGGACTGTGGTTCGATTCCCATCAGGGCACAGCCTGGGTTGCAGACCACTTCCCGGCGGGGGACTCATGAGAAACAACCATACATTGATATTTCTCTCCCTCTCTCCTGCCCTTCCCCTCTAAAGATAAATTAAAATTAAAAAAAACTTTACTATTTGTTGACTCTCCCCAACTTAAACAAAACAAACAGAAAAGAAAAAAAAGGAAGAGCACATATCATGCCAGGAATTCTGGTCTCAGCTGCTAAGGAGTCAGGGGTCCACATTAGTCAATAACCATGGTGTTTCTGGTGCTATAAGAATGAACTGAGCTGCTGGCCTGATGGAGGCAGATTTAGGCAAAGTGGCCTAAAAAGCTTTGTATCAACCAAAGTTGTTGGTGGCAGGCATTAGTCATCAACTCTTAAGAGAGCCCTTACACAAAAAGAGAATTTCTTAGAAGGCTATCAGGAGGTGGCTCACAGAATTGAGCACAGGCTTAGGTGGCAGGGTGGGGAAACAAGTAGGAAGCAAGGGGCTTCAGAAATTGTCACAGGGACAGTTTGGCTAGGGTTCTCATTCTCTGGCACAATCCACGGCTAGACTCAACCACAAAAAAATAGGCACCAGTGGACAGTGTTGAAACTGTGCAAGTGAACACCAGTAGTTCCTATGCTTTTGCATTATACTCTGCAGATTCAAAGTGCCAGGAAGCATCATGTGATTGACTGATAAAATGCAGTTCCCTTGCTTGAGTTCTTACTATAAGAGGCAAGGGAAAGGAAAGTTAAGGGGAAATGTGTCCCATAATAATGGATATATTGGTGGAGTCCTCCAAAATAAGAAGGGAGATTAAATGTTGGGAAAAAAGAAATAAAAAAATGTTTACCACAACTATAATTGTTTTTACGGACATCTGAAAGCTACATCAATAAAAAGAACATTGAATCTAGAATTTCTTATGTTCCCTAACCTCTGGTTAGTGAGGTAGAGATAGCTAGATGTCCACGAAAAATCTGTGTTTTTTCTTTCATAGGATAGAATTACCAAAAGAAATTGAATTTCAGATCTTGACCAGTGTGGCTCAGTTAGTTAAGCATCATCCTACTGCTTTGCTTTGTAGCAAAAGGTCACCAGTTCTATTTCCAGTCATGGCACATACCTGGGTTGCAGGCCCAGTACTCGGTTGGGGCAGGTATAACTGATGGTTGGCCCATCGATGTTTCTCTCCCTTCCTTCCCCTCTGTCTAAAAATAAATAAATGAAATCTGAAAGGAAGGAAGGAAGGGGGGGGGAGAGAGAGAGAGAAAGGAAGGAAGGAAGGAAGGAAGGAAGGAAGGAAGGAAGGAAGGAAGGAAGGAAGGAAGGAAGGAAGGAAGGAGAGAAGAAAGAAAGAAAGAAAGAAAGAAAGAAAGAAAGAAAGAAAGAAAGAAAGAAAGAAAGAAAGAAAGAAAGAAAGAAAGAAAGAAAGAAAGAAAGAAAGAAAAGAAAGAGTGAGGAAGGAAAGAAGGAATGACGGAAGGAAAAAAGAAAGAAAGGGGAAGGGAAGGGAAGGGAAGGTCTCAGTCTAGGGACTCTATTTCCCAGCTGCAGTGAGGAGCAGCCAAGAGTGTGGAGTGTGTAAGCGGTACATGCCACTTCCAGGCTTAGTTTATACAAATTCTCCATTTAGTGATCCCCCAGGCTGTGTCCCTCTCTGGCTGTCTAGAATGAAGATGACATCCAAAGTAACACTAGAAGCTACTGTGTTAAAGATGACAGCACCTCTGACAACTTGGCCCCTAGATGACTATAAGGTGGAGGGTCTCCTCACTAACCTGTTCACCTGGCCAATGGTTTTACATGTGCAAGAGATCATTTTTGTTTGGGCTTTGGTTATTACACATTGAGGTCCATTTGTTGGTAATACACTTAGCTTGTTTATTTGTTTATTCTAAGTGAGACATGGTAGAATCAACACAGGCTTTGGAATGAGTTCAAATCCATGCTCCACTACTGATGTCCTGGGAGCCCTTTCTTAGTCTCTGTTTTATAAAGTAAGATGAATAGTGTCTATCACAAAAAGTAGATAATAAGGATTAAATCAAATGATGACTGCCAAACACCTAGTAGGAAGACTGGATCACAGTAGGTACACGATAGATGGTAGACTGTGAGCAGAGTCTATGGTGGGAATAGGTGTATAAACTGGAAATCAGGAGACTGGTGTCCTCATTCCAGGGCTGCTGCTTCCTGTACAACCTTGGGGGAAATCTCCCCTCTCTGAACCTTGCTTTGCTTACCTGTGAAGTCATGGAGTGTGATGACACCTGGGGTTCCCTCACTATTTCCTATGAAAACTCTTGGCTCTGCAATAGGACGAAGCTGAATAGAACGAAGCAGACTCTGGTCTCTGTCTCTGTTGCAAACAGAGAAGCTTCTGTTTGGTTTGTTTGACATGTTAGGCTTCTAGAAAAGACTTTGTTTGAAGAAATAGTATCACTGCTCTTGC